AAAATATTGTTTTTCTTCCAAATTTTTGGTCTTTTTTTTTTGTTTATAGCGTGAAAAATAAAAAGCGCACAGGTGATCAAATACCACCGAAAGAGAGCTCTATTTGTGTGAAAAAAAGGACGTAAATTTAGTTTGGGTGCAGCATTGCATGACCGCTCAATTATCAGTTGAATTAGTGCAGCGCCAAGTAGCAAAAAGAGGCCTGGTCATTAAGGGGGGTAAATCCTCAGGAGGGCAAGTGGTTAAAACAACAATTGGCTGCTGCTTCTACAAAGGGTTCTGGCCTTCAAAAATTTGGAAATATTTGGAGTAAGCGCTGACTACGCTTCGTCCAAATATTTCCACGGCAATAAAAACCTGACAGAACCTTCTCCACGCTGTCTAAAATTAAAATATCTGAAGTTGTGCTTTACAGTAAAGTTGTAACTTATACGGGGAAGCCAAAGTAAAACTGGACTAACTTCAAAGTTCATGCCTGCCTCCCCCAATGAGGTGCTGAACCTTCCAAAAAGGTTAGAAAATACTGACTTTCTAAGAGCCCTTTGTACAGGCAAAGGCACACTTCCCCACTGTCCACAGGCATGTATTTAAAGCTGATCCCCAGCCTTATCATTGTTCTTGCACAGTTGTACAGGCTTGTCTCCTGTACTATAATTGCTGCCTGCACACAATGTGCATTAGAAGCTGCAGCAAATCTGATCGAGCCTGCCTCAATGCCTGCTTTAAGGACATGCAGCATAATCCAGCCATACTTTCCCTGGCCCTCCCTTTTCATTTATTAGATTTCAGCTTTTTAAACTATGGAGGCTCAGCATCACATGTACCTGTTACCTAGGGCGGTCTGCAAGCAAATACAGGCTGCCTAGTCAGGGGCGTCCCTAGGGTTGGTGTCACCCCGTGCGGTAACACTTGGTGTCACCCCTCCGACGATCCCCGCAGGATGTATCAGATCTGCAGATTGAGCAGATCTGATGCTCCCCAATCCGCGAATCCGATCCATCCTGCAGGGATCGTCGGCTTGCAACCTATACGGGGTTAACTGATCTCTTCACGAGCTCCACGAAAAGGTAAGTTTTAAAGCAAGCCGACGATGCCCGCAAGATGGATCAGATCTGCGGATTGGGGAGCATAATGGATCAGACTCCGATCCATTATACTCAATCCGCAGATCCGATCCATCCTGCGGGGATCGTTGGCTTGCTTTAAAACGTACCCTTTTGTGAAGCGGGTCCAGTGTCACCCCGTGCTATAGGTGTCACCTGGTGCGGTGTTGTGATAGGTTTTGTGCTGCCCTAGGCAACACAAAAATCAAACCCCAACCAACACCCCCCTCTCCCCACCCCCCTCCCCCCCCCCCCCCCGCCAACCTGACAGAGCCTTCCACTATCATCACCCTCCATACACCAGCCACCCCCCACCCAGCGAGAGAGAGACACACTCCACAGCTCCAGACATCTCCTGGAATGAGAGTCCAGCTCTGCATACACCGTCAAGCAGCCTCTCTCGGATCCCACCTGGTCCCCCTGCCGTGTGTGTCCCTTCTTCTGTCCTTTCTTCCGGGGAGCAGTGCGGCCCCCCTGAAAAATGCCGCCCTAGGCAAATACCTTGTTTACCTTGTGGTAAATACAACCCTGAGAAGGGCTCCTAAGAGGAGTATTGAGGCAGGGCACAGTAATATTTTCAGGAAGCTTTGTAGAGCATGCTGCTTTATCACTCTTCCAGTCCCCTTCTGGACACTCTTCTGCAGGGATTGGCTGCTGATGATAAATATTAATTCTAGTTATTTGCATCTCCCTCCCTAAGCTCTTGAAGCTTTTTCCAGGGGCAGAGGGAAGCAATCAAGCTCCCAGTCTGTGAAACCCTGAACAGACCAGGACAAACAATCACTGCTCCCTTGATTACAAAAGGAGCCAAAAACTAAATTTACCCAGCATCCTACTCTGCATTGCTACATTCTGCTTGTGTGGTTTACACAAGAGAAAGGTGCTTCTCACAGGAAACACTTGTGCTAATAAAATCTTTAAAGGAATTTAGATTTAATTTTTATCAGAAGGCATTTCAAATTTTAATAACACACCTTGGATATCTTATGGATCAATGAGGAGGTATTCCAGTCAGGTTATGATTGAGTAATGCTGTGTTTTACATTGCCATCAATGACCTACCTTACCACCTATTACAAATGAAAAAAATAGTATTTGCACTTGGCCATTTCTCCTCCTTAACATGTTATAATAGGTGAGCAAGGAGGAAATTAAAAAAAAAAACCCTCTGCTCATATGAAGTAATAATACATTTTATTTTTAGGTGACTTTCAGAACACCCAAGGTCACCTGAGAAGGATAGCAATAAAGCAACAATTTGGTTAACCATCAGGTGGTTAGGAAGTCATAGCTGCGGATGTCAGGTGACAGGGTGTTCCAAAGTCAGGGGGGCAGAGTAGCTAAAGACTCTAAGTCCCATAGTGGTCAGGTGGGTGGATGGAATATTGAGGATGGAAGAAGATCTAAGAATGTGGGAGGGTCTTTTGATATGCAGGAATTCAGAAAGGTATGAAGGCGCAAGGTTGTGCATGACCTCAAAAGTAAGAAACAGAATCTTAAAATCAATACAATATTTGGCCGGAAGCCAGTGGAGGTGCTGAATGACAGGAGTGATGTGATTTAAAGGAGGAGGTTCTGGTGATGATGCGAGCAGCAGAGTTCTGAACCAATTGTAAATTATGGACGGACTTGAGAGGGAGACCAAAGAAAAGGGAATTGCAGTAATCTATGCGAGAAGTGACCAGATTGTGAACAGGAACAGCAGTAGTGTTGGGTGTGAAGAATGGGTGAAGGCGATTAATCTTGCTTAGATGGAAATATGCTGACCGAGTGGCATTACTGATGTGGGCTTGGAAAGATAATGTGCTGTTGAGGATGACACCCAGATTCTTCATCTGAGGGGAGGGAAAGACTGTGGAATTTTCAATATTAACTGAAAAACTATTAAGATTTGTCAATGTGGGTTTTGTGCCAATGAGGAGAACCTTGGTTTTGTCCCTGGTTAATTTAAGAAAGTTAGAAGAGAGCCAGGATTTGATTACCTGTAAACAGTCGGTGAGGGATTTGGGTGAAAGGGTTGCAGTAGGTTTAGTGGACAAGTAGAGCTGGGTGTCAGCCACATTGCAATGCAAGTGGATGTTAAATTTGCAAAATATGAGACCAAAGGAAAGAAGAAAGATTATGAACAGAAGGGGCCCCAGGACAGAACTCTGACACACACTGGTAGAGGGTGCAGATGATTGGGATTTGAAAGATTTGAGTTGCATGAATTGAGTACAGCCAGAAAGAAAAGATTTAAACCAGTTCAAAGGTGTCATTGAATCCAATGGAAGCTAATCTGTCAAGAAAGATATTCTGAGAAATGGTATCAAAGACTGCACTCAGATCAAGGTAGATAGGATAGTTATGAGACCAGGGTCAGCTGCTCTGAGGAGATCATTTGTGATTTTTAACAAAGCAGCTCCAGTGCTATGTAGGGGACGAAAAACCAGAATTGATCAAATAGGTCCGAGTTAGAAAGGTAAGTATAGAACTGAGAAGCAACTTTTTTTTTTTCCAAGGATTATGGAAAGAAAAGGAAGATTAGTGATGGGCCCAAGGTTACTGAAGTCACTGGGATCTGCACCAGCTTTCTTAAATATGGGAACTATTACAGCTCTTTTGAGAGATGAGAAAACAATACCAGAGGAAATGTGTGATACCAGTTGTTAAGGCAGACAGAGGATAGGCAAGCTAACCAGGACAGTGGGGAGAGGATCTAATGGACAGGTAGAAGGCTTGGCTTTCTGAATTAGGTTAGTTATTTCAGCAACAGAGGAAAGTTTGAGAGAGAGAACAAGAAAGAAGGGCAGAGAGAGCTGGAGAAAACAGACTAAGGGAGGGGTTCAAAGTCAGTTGTTGGTGGATCTTTTCAATTTTGTTAAAAAATTTAATTAAAGAATTCCAAAAAGACGTTGTGCAGAGATGAGGCGGAAAGCAGTCTGGCGGCTTAAATATGCTATTAACTGCAGAAAACAGGGCCTTAGTGCCCCCTTCGCCTGAACTGATTAATTCCGTAAAATAGGTTGATTTTGTTGTGGACAAAGTGTCCTTATAGTGAAGAATATGGTTATCATACAGTTCTTTGTGAATCCAGTTTATAGTAAGTGCTATACATCATGTTTTTTATGTGTTGTTTATGGTGATGAAGTGGAAGTGGCTTATAACTGACTCCCAATGGTCCTCAAGTGGGCAGGAATATTCAGATTATTCTGGGGGGCTGCTTTAGAAAATCACTTAATTTGCATATTAGCGGTTTACAGTATTTACAGGCCTAAACAGATTTGCTATTAGCAACCACTGAAAAGTCATGCAAATGTAAGTATTAAACAAGACCCTCTTCTTTTCAGGTTGCAGAAGGTGTTGGTTGTCCTGTTAACGACACTAAGGCACTTGCTGACTGCTTGCGTAAGACAGACCCCAGGGCCATCACTTTGGCTTATCAACTGGAATTTGTCAACCTAACGTGTGAGTACTAAGCACTCAGAGAAATGAAGGTGAAGTGATAATAATGTGGTAGGAGAATTAAACATGAGCTCCAGGCAAACCGCTAAATACACAGATTAAAGGGTAGGTTCACTTTAGTAACTGCATGTTACAATGCAGCAATGGCAGCCTGCTTCAAATTAGAAGCTCAGCCCAAAAGTAGATACTACAAAATGCCTGCTATTTCTTTATTAGCCAGAAAACCCAAGCCCCACTTACCTGCCACTATCCAATGAGAGCTTCCTTATTATTCTCTCTCTGGATAGTGGGCTGGTTGGTCTGTGCTGGATTTGCTCACAGTCCATGTTGTTTCACTAGACTTTCCATGGCTTGACCACTGTACTTCATACAAAAAGGTCTATTTCTTTCCTGAAAGACAGGTAGATTCAGCCCTGTTGTCTTTGGTTCCTTCAGATCCCCTGGTACACTATCTGGCTTTCAGTCCAGTCATTGATGGCGATTTCATCCCAGATGAGCCCAGGAATCTGTTTGGCAATGCTGCTAAAGTGGACTATATGGCCGGAGTTGTTTTTGTGAACAATATGGATGGGCACTTATTTGCTGGGATTGATATGCCAGCTATAAACAGGCCTTTACAGAAGATTTATAGGTGAGTGCTAATAACAATGTAACTATGGTAGTTTATGACTTGAGTCTATAAAAATTCCTGTTCCAGAGCTTCATATTGTTCTTTTTGACTTTTTGAAAATACTAAGTGGAGCACTAAGTGAACCATATAACACTTTCACATTATTTATATACAATGTAGACCCCAAACCCTCAGCATTACATCAGGCTTCAAAGAGGGTAAAGCAGTGTATGCTCCCTTTGCATTATGGGATCTGACCTTTTTTGTACGGTTGTTCAGGAGCCACACAGAGGGCCATTCCATTAATGAAGCCAATTGAGGCGGCTGCCCCAGACGGCACTCATGGAGGCACGAAGGGAGCGGCACTGAGGTTGGAATTCCAATACTGAACACTCTGTCCTCCGTGTATGTTTAGCTCTGTATATGGTAAGCCCCTGATTTCACATGGTTATTATGGTGCAGGAGGCCGCCTGTACCATAGCAACCATTGACACTGTCCAGCATGGCTGCCTGCATCCTAGCAACCAATGTTGCCATGCAGCTGAGTCACCAATGTCCTAGAATCAACAATGGGATTGGTTCAGGGGCTGCTCCAAAAATGGCTGCCTCAGTTGTGAGATGGGGGAAACAGCTCTCATTGTGAATTAAATGTTTTGAAATGTTTTACTGACATTCTGCGATTTAGCCACAAGATGTCACTGTTTTTCTAACACAGCCTCAGACTGCATAGATATTCAGGAAGGGATGGGGTTTTACACATGGGAGCTCAGTGAACAGGAAGAGAGACTACAGCCATGTTTTGATGATGGTGAAGGAAAAGAGCCATGTGAGCAGAGAATCCGTTGGCATCCAGGTGTGAGAACTGCAGCTAGTGAAGCTGATGGTGTTCAAGATGCTGATCCTGTTCAGTGAAAGAAAGATCGCTGCCAGGAAGGCTGATGAGATCGCATGCTTGTTGGAGAGACATTTGTTCTGTTCAGTCATCAGCGGATGCAAGGCAGACCCAGGTCGTTAAGATTGTGCACGCACCTCATTTCAGTGTTGGCGCCTCCAGAGACTGAGACAGGCCTATAGTTAGTTAGTTAGGGTCTCTGTTTGTGTCAGGCCACAAGTGTTGTTACTGATCATTGGAAGGACTCCACAACTTAAAGTGACATTTCACATTGGAGAGCTGATAAAATCCCACAAACTCAAGCCAGACTGGCGTTTTGCTCAGAAGGAATACTCAGGCACAGGCTACAGGGCCAGTTATGGGAGGGGGAATACTGTAGATTTGTGTGAGATTGTAAGCTGTTGTGCTGCACCGCAGGCTAGCCTATACCATACACCCATACACTGATTCCTGCTCTTTTAGGGTAATAACAGGTAAGGTGTGGCAGCTTAGTTGTGCCCGCCAGTAGGTAAATTACTTCGCTTTCTACGTCATCCATCAGAAGGCGCCGTGCTGTGCAGCACAAGGGTCTCAGCCTTTGGGCTGGGTGTATGTAAATTTATTGTATGTTCCCAGCATTTGTGGTTGTGTTTATTTGCCACATCTAAGTAAAATTCTGTTGTGGCAAAACCTGGTGTTGGGGTTGCCTTCCTCGTTCATGACTTCACTGTATCCTGGGGAGCCCACCCCGGTACACAGTGACCGTTATGGACGGGAATGCGGCGGGAGATCTTCCCCCGGCGCCAATAGCACCGGTCCAGGACCCAGCTCAGGGTGCGCCGCTGCAAGACCAAGTTGCCCCAACACCGCTGATACAGCTTGCCCCTGCCCTGCCTGTACCAGTAGGGTACATTCCCGTGGGGGCACTGTTGTGTCACCTGCCAAAATTTGATGGTAAAAAATATGACGTTGCAGGACTGGACTGAAAGAGTGAGATGTGCGGTTAGAATGTGTAACCTGACTTCCGAGCTGCGGGCAGAGGTTGCATTGGGGGCTCTAGAGGGTGACGTCAGACGGACAGTAATGGTAAGGCCCGAATCTGAGAGAGACACCCTAGAGAAAATATTCTCCCTGCTGGAGAGAGCCCAAGGGGGGCGTGCTAAAGTAGTGCAGCTGCGGAGCCACTTCTTCAACCGACCACAGCAAGAGGGCGAGACCCTGATGCAGTACTCCAATGCCCTACAGGAGACGCTAAATGAAATACAGCGGCGAGATCCAGAGGCCATGGGAGCTTTCCGGGAGGTGGACCGGCTACTACAAGACCAGTTCATAGTGGGGCTCTCCAACAAGTTCTTACAGGACAAATTGCAAGAGATGACCCGGACGGCGCCCAACATGACGTTCTACAGCATCTACTTAGCCGCTGTGGAGAGAGAGGAAGAGTGCATACCTGTGGCGGCTAGAATAATGAGTAGTAGTACCGATGCTACAAGAGGTCCGTCTGCATCTGAAGACTCAGAATCCTTAAAGGATGTGGTCCAGGCCCTGCGGACGGAATTAAGAGAACTTCGGCTGGAAGTGTCCCAGATTGTCAGGGCAGGAGCTGTGGAATAGACAGGCAGGCCTAATGGCAGGGTCACGCACCGACTGACGACAACCACCACCCACAGACCGGAGTCCCTCAGGGCGCGGAGTCTAAGCACCAGGCTGCCTTCACCAGGGCCCCTGATGGTGGGGATGGACTTGACGCAGCAAGGGACCAGGACATCCGAGGAATAGTCTGGATGCAGGTCTGGCTCTGTGGGCAAAATGTCGGCAAGAAGGGGGTCGTGCTGGTGGATCATTAGTCCCGGAGAGGGATGGACGTGACACTAGGTATGAACGTGCTGAGAGACCTAGACCATCAACTTTATGCCAAAGAAGGGCCGATGTATTGGCAACGGGCCACCACACAGGCCAACCCAGAAGGTTCTACAGCAGATGGTGAGAAGCTGTAGTCTGCGAAAGGGCAATATGTCAGGTCGACCCATTGGACACGTGAGGGTGCCGCGGAGGACCCCGGTGAAGATCCCGCCTCGACAAGAGCAAATATTGATGCTGCCGGTTGGGGCTGGACGACAACTGAATGGACTGGAGGTCCTGATCGAGCCCGCTTACCAAGAAGAAATGCAGACTCATCCACTGGTAGCCCGGGCCCTCGCTATTGTGAAGGATGGATGTGTGCCTGTACGCTGCCTCAACGTTGAAGACTGTGAGTTAACTGTCCCTGGGAATACCTTGCTGGCCAAAGTTTATGTGTCCGAAGGGGATATTCCTCGACGGAGGAGCTTCACGCTACGGCCAGTTAGGAGATCAGCCTGGACCTATGCTGTAGAGGTCCATGAAAGAGAGACCCCGACAGCGGAGTGGAGCGGTCGAGTGATCATGGCCCAGATGGGGGTGAACTGCAAGATCCTGACTCCAGGACAACAGAAGTTGCTGGAAGACACCCTTTCGGAATTTCAGGAGGCCTTCTCGAGACATGATGAGGACTTCGGTGTGCCTCCACCATCGAACACAAAATCCCCGCCGGCAATGCTGCACCGATCAGGGAACGTTACCGGCAAATCCCGCCTAAAATGTACCAGGAGGTGAAGGATATGGTGGCCAGCATGTTGGAAAACCAGGTGATCCTGGAGAGTCAAAGTCCTTGGGCTGCTCCAGTAGTCTTGGTGCGGAAGAAAGATAGGAGTCTCCATTTCTGCGTGGATTATCGGAAGCTGAATGCCCAGACAGTGCGGGATGCCTACCCCCTTCCGCGGATTGAGGAGTCCTTGTCCGCCCTGAGTCATGCGAAGTTCTTCTCGACTCTTGACCTGACCAGTGGGTATTGGCAGGTACCGGTGGCCAAGAAGGACAAAGCGAAGACGGCCTTCATCCTACCTATGGGTCTCTATGAGTTAAACCGGATGCCATTCGGCCTGTCCAATGCCCCGGGAACATTCCAGCGGTTGATGGAGCACTGTCTGGGAGATCTCAACTTCGAGTCGGTATTGATATACCTGGACGACGTAGTAGTGTTTGGGGCCTCTTTTGAGGATCACCTCCAGAAACTGCGACAGGTCTTAGGACGGCTGCGAGACCATGGGCTCAAAATCAAGCCCAAGTAGTGGCAACTGTTTCAACAGCAGATAGAGTATTTGGGGCATTTGGTCACCCAGGAGGGGGTAAAGCCAACCCCCAACAAGGTGGAGGCGATCCAGAAGTGCCCCAGCCGAGTACACTACGAGAGGTGCGGGTGTTCAGTGGACTGGCCGGATACTACAGGAGGTTTATACCCAAGTTTGCTCATTTGATGGGCCCGTTAAACGAGTTATTGAGGGGCACTGCAGGGGGCCCGAAGCATCGCCCCACTGACAAAAGTCTACATGGTATGGGGGGGGCTGTGTTATCCCAAGTCCAGGATGGACGTGAGAGAGTCATTGCCTATGGCAGCCGGGCTCTGAGGGAGTCAGAGCGCAACCCTGACAACTATAGCTCCTTCAAATTGGAACTACTGGCACTGGTGTGGGCCATGACCGAAAAGTTTGCGGAGTACCTGACCGGTGCAGAGGTGACCGTGATGACGGACAACAACCCGTTAGCACATCTGGAAAATGCCAAACTCAGTACGCTTGAGCAGAGGTGGTTGGCTCGCCTTTCTAACTACCAATACCGCATCAAGTTCTGGTCAGGTAGGGAGAACGGCAACACTGACACACTCTCCGGAGTTCCTGTAGGGTTGTCGGCTCAGAGTGCCAATGAGGAGCTAGAGGACACTGAAACTCCTGACCTTGGTCGATTACCCATGTTCCCGGACATGTCACATTCAAGTGGGGTGGCGTCCGGGATGCCAATTGTGCTGGGAAAGACGTTGGCTGATTGGGAGAGGGTCCAGGATAGTTGCCGGACCTGTGGAAAGTGAAAGAATGGGTCCGGACCAAGATCTGGCCTCGGTCAGAAGAGCGGGCTCGTCTGACTCCCGAGGGCCAAAAGTTGTTGAGGCAGTGGGATAAGCTAACTGTTACCCAGGGCCTCTTGTGTTGGACCATATACTTGCAGACAGAGTTGCAGTACCAGCGACAGATTGTCATCCCCATGTCATTGGGACCGGAGGCTGGCTGGGAAGCCC